CACACACACACACACACACACACACACACACACACACACACTGTGTGATTCTGATTCTGTACTAGGAGAATTTTGTCTGCTGAGAGCATCCATCAAACTGTGCTAAACTAACAATATGCATTTATATTCTTAAACTTCCAAGACACAAGGACAGAGTAAAGTGTGATGACATTTTGTTTGTGCTTTAACAAATAAAGCTTGCCTGAAGATCAGAGTGCATAGCTAATCATAGAGGCCAGGCAGTGGTGGCACACACCTTTAATCCCAGCACTTGGAAGGTAGAGGTAGATGGATCTCTGGGAGTTCAAGGCCACTTGAACTACACAAGACTGATCCACTCTAAAGAAGTCAGGAGGTAGTGGCTCACACCTTCAGTCCCAGTACCTGGGAGTCATACACCTTTAATCCCAGCACTAGGGAGAGGAGATAGGAAAGGATATGGCTGGGGAGAGAGAGGAATATGAGGCAGAAAGAGACAAGGGCTCATTTCACTCAGTTTGAGGATTCAGAAGAGGTAAGAACTAGTGGCTGGCTGTTTTGCCTCTCTGATCTTTCAGGATTTACTCCACTGTGCTTTTATTATTAAAACCAATTAGAATTCTCACTACAGTGAAGGTATCAGGGCTCACCTGGTGGGTATGGGGTTTGCAATATGCTGTCACCATGGTCTAGAAGAATCTTGACTATTTGGCAGACTGAAGAAACTAGTGGTGTGGTGGGCATAGTTGCAAACACTGTAATCCCAGAATTTGGGAGGGAATTTGGGAGATAGTGGTAGACATATCTCAGTGAGTTTGAGGCCAGCTTAGTCTATATAGTGAGTCCCAAGAGAGACAGAGACAGAGCTATGGTGACCCTGTCTTGAAAAAAACAACTACTTAAAACAAAACAAAACAAAAAAAAAATCTAGTCATAGAGTCTGTTGTGTAATTTCTGGGACACGTAAATCTGTTTAGACAGAAAGAAGATGCCTATAGCTAATGGGTTATAGTTAAAGGAAAATTTTACTTAGAAACACTGAAAATAATCTAAAATGAATACAGCTAAAGGTATACATCAAAATATAACAATGGCCAGACATCAACTACCAAAATAACCCTATATAGATAAATTACATATGTAGACTTCATGTAAATAAAACTTCTGTTAAATTACCTGAAAACTATTCAAGTTTAATATATGCAATATTTGAAATGCATTGAAGGCTTTAATTGATGGGGAATGTAATTCTGTGTATGTTCATCTTATTGATTGTTGAATAAAGTACTATTTGGCCAATGAGGCAGCAAGTTAGGCGGGACTAGGAGTCAAGGAGCATTCTGGGAAATGTAGTAAAGAAGTGATGATCCAGGCAGGAAATGACATAGCAGGGAGACTCATACATAAACAAGGGAAGAAATGGGCCCTCTTCCTCCAGAGTCGCCATGTGATCCACCAGCAAGTAAGGATGTCAATAGAAGGCGTCCGATAAGATGAAGTCTTATAAAATATATAGATTTATGATAATTAAGACTGAGCTAACAGATGAGAATCCTAGTCATTGGCCAAGCAACATTTATACCTAATATAAGTCTCTGTGCATTAATTAGGGCCCTAACTCAGTGAGCAGAACTCAGGCCGCTGGCAGAAAGTGCCCATGTGGTGGTAGGGCTCGTGCAGCTTTTGGCAGAAAGATTTATCGTAACCCTGAATCTTTAGAAAGAAAGAAAATGTAGAATCAGATGAAAGAGACATTGAAATTGGCACCAGATGATGAAGGAACAATGAGAACAAAGGACATGGAAAGAGTTAGAGAATAAATGAGAAGGAAGAGGGAGGACATGAGGCAAAAGAGTCAGAAGAAAACAAAACAAACAAACAGGAGGAGTAAAACATGGAAACAAAACAGAGCAACCCTGGCCTGTTTGGTAGTACTGCTGCAGAAATCTGGTGAGTCCCAACTACCACCATCAACAATGTGATGATATTTTGCTTGAAGATCAGAGTGAAAAGCTAGCCACAGTAGTCAGCCATAAAGGCCAAGCAGTGTTGGCATACACCTTTAATCTCAGAAGCCACACTAGTTAGCCATAGAAGCTGGACAATGGTGGTACATGCCTTTAATCCCAGCACTAGAGAGGAATATAAGGCAGGTAGAGACAGGAGTGCAATATATTCATTCTGCAGTCACACTGTGGGCAGGATTGCCCACTTTGGTCTGAGCCTTGGTAGAGGTAAGAATTCTCTTATGGTTGGCTGCTTTGCTTTTCTGGTGTTCAGGCAAGCTTTATTGGCTAGACCATAAACAAAATATCACCACATAACAAGACAAGAGCTGAGGTTCTAGCGGGAGGATCCAAGCAATAGGGACCCTTTAGCCTTATCTTCAATCCTGGTACAGCCAAGAGCAATAAATCCAAAAAAAAGGGTTCCAAAGGGGCCATTCATAGCACGGCATGTGACATTACAGAATAAGTTCATTAGTTTCACAGTTCAAATATCATCTGATTTTTCTTGAAATACCCTGTATAAATTTGAACTTTAACTTGATGTTTTTAAGTTTTAAGATTACACTTTAGTATTCCTGTCACACTTAGAAACAAATCAACAAGAATCATACTGCATACAGGCCTCTTTTTAAACATCCATAATATTTCTCAATATACAAAGTGTTGTATTGCATACAAAGCACATTGTCATTAAGCACACTGGTAACTAGTTGAGGATCTTTTTAAATTTCTCAAAAGTAAACTCACAGCTAGGCATTTTCAAGCTTTAAGTCTGAAATGGAGAATTAGATGTGAATATCCTTTAGAGTTAAAGCTGGGCATGGTGGCACTCAGGAAGTGGAGGTAGGAGAATTGTCACCAAGTTCATGGCCTTATCAAGGCTACATATAAATTTGATCATAACAATAATACATCTTTACTTCTTTTAAATAATAATTAAATAAGTATTATTGTATTTGCATACTGAAATGGTAATAGATAACTACAACTGTGAGGAGGCAAATATTTTGAAGAATGATCTATTACCTTCTCACTATTATTTACAGAAACTTCCAGTTATAGTTATAAGATCTACAATAATGGCAAGTCGTAATTCATATAACTGAAAAATTGCCTTAAATTAGAATTACTAAATAATCACAGTTCTATTATGATATGGTTTGTAGAAAAATCTGTAAGTTCATAGTTGGAAAACCAACCTAAGGAAGAACACATGAGTATTCACCAAGACATATGTAAGATGTTATGAGAATACAACCTAGAATACTATAAATGCATTAAATATAAAAATAAAAGGGTATTAACAGTGATATGATTTTACATAAAAATCAATCACAAAAGTTTCAAACAATACACTCAGAATTAGATTTTTAAACTTGAAACCTACTTGCAGCTGCACGGAATTGTGCCGAAGGCCTTCGACAATGGGAAAAAATCTGTCAATTTTTCTTTCTTCTCCTGCTGATGTCAAGGCTTCTAAAACTTCTTCAAGGCTGTCAGAAATTTGAAGTCTATTAATTAAATAGCAAGGATCAAATAACAAAAATGGCACACAATCACTTTATGCTGCTAATTAATTAAATGTGCCCAGGCAACAGTGGCATTTAGAAGTAGCTTACAGAGTTCATACCATTATTAAAGTGCACACTAACTGTTCAAATTACTAGAATTCACTGTGACATTTCCATGCATACGTACCATGCATTTATCACACCCACTTTCCCAACACATCCTTTGCCCCACATCTCCCTCTCTGGGTTTTTAACACCTTAGCTAACTTCACAATCTCCTACTGTCATATTAGCTCCTTTTCCTCCACTGGTACCTACTTGAGGGAAGCACACTGTCTGTCTTTCTGTGTGCTCTAGCATGCATTTTGATTGATTTATTCCTGGCCAATACCCTGGGAAGTTGTTCATCAAGCGTCTATAAAACAACACAGGTCAGGACTAATTTGAACCATTTTTGCCAATATAGGCTCACACTGGATTTTTATTTTTACTGTGTTATTGCTACATACACGTATCCAGTATGATGTGAAAATTTCAATGCATGCTGCTGCTATGTAATGGCAAAGCTGGAAAAGTACACACGTCTCCCCAAGTAAGTCATTCTCTCATGATAACAGCATTTAAAACAAATTCTTCTACCTTTTGTAAAACATACATTATCATTTTCTAGAATCAACATACCACAGATTTTAATGTATGTGACTCTATGCAGTATATATATTATAAACCAATATAAATAGGGAAACCAGGCAGAAAAGGGTTGAAAAATTTGTTCACAGTCTAACAACTACTCCAAAGTGGTGATGCATAGATCTAAAATCTGGCAGCCTTCAAAGGCTAAATATCTAAGACACATAATGTCCCTCAAATAATGAAACTGTGATAGTCAAAAGAAATAGTAACAAAATACAGTAAATAATTAAACCTAAAATTACATATTTGTGAAAATTATATTTTCCCTTTTAAAAAAAAAGAAAGTGTAAATTCATCCACTGTGGAAGAATGAGCCATAAATATTATTTGAGTTACTCTAACATTCATTCCAATGAAACAATAAAAATAACACAGAAGGGCTGAGAATCTAGTTCAGTGGTAGAGTGCTAATCAGCATGTGTGAGGCCCTAATTCTGAATCCCAGCACTAAAACACGTACGAGCGGGAGAATAATATATGAGAATAAAGACGAAGACACAAGAGAAAGGGGAAGAAACAGAAAAGGGAATGGGGAAAATAAAGGAAAGAAGGGAAGAACAAGAGAAAAGAGAAGAACAATAAGATAAGAGTCTAAGAGGAAAAGGTAGAGAGAAAGGAGAAGAATTAGGAGGGAAGAAGAGAAAGGAGGAATGGAAAGGAATGGAAAACAAAGAGTAAGAGGAAAGACAGGAGGGAATTCAGAACCACATATCTATATACATGCATACAGGGCACACATCAACGTTTAGGGCACACCAAAATCTTAGCAATCCTTCTAGACTGAGAAAGTACTGACACTGCTTGTCGGGCCTTTTCCATGCATGAGACACATGTCAGATTAGCCAAACAACTTCTATAGACACAGAGGACATACACATAAAGAGTCAGGTTCAGAGTGTTGTCTAACTGGCCAACTACAGCCAGAGTTAGCTCAAAGCCACCTTCTCTAGCAGGACTGCCCCAAGGCTGACTTTCACATGAGCATAGAAAGGACTCAGGCTAAGGAGATTGCATGCTAAGAACTGCAAGGCTCCTAGTGTCAGAGTTCGTCTCCTACGAAGAACTTTCTGGCAGCTCTGACCTATGAAAGAATCTACCCTTGTTTTGTTTCCAGACACTTCCTGCTCAACACTCCAATTCTTCCTCTATTTAAGCATAAAGCTAATGCCTGGTATCCTAAAGATACATATGAGATTGATCAGTGGATGCTGTGGCCAGTACACACCTCAATGAAAACTTCTTCCTATGGTTTTCTCCATCACTCGACTCTATAGGTCTTATTAGAACCAGAGCCAAGAATAGGCCTTTGGAAAAGTTAGAGCCAGGCTGCTTCAATTCACTGGCAACTATAAGCACTGTTTTTGTTCTTTTGATTGTTCAGTTTACCCATTTTTAAAAACATTTTAAAGACTTACCTATAATTAGAATCCTAATCTTCTTTAAGGTGTTGGGGTATGTGCCTTATCATCGGATATA